ATTAATCTTAATGCTACAAATGGACTCTTATTTTAAAGTGTTACCATTTCATTTCAACTGTCATGCTTAAAGATGCACATCTTTAAATATATACACAAAGGCTATAGCATTAAAATTATATACATATGGATATTGTATGTATACTCTCAGACTTGAACTGCTTCTATTCTTGAACACTTGATCATTATCGAATCAAAATAAAGCGCAGCGCTGAGTCTAGGAGAACTCACCGGTATCACACACACTCCGGACGCATCGCATTCAACCTGAGCAGCGGTCTAAAACAGTTTATTTAATCACCAAACAGACACAAGTTTACTTAGAAAAATAACAATTTGGTATAGATGAGTTTGAAGTTCGGCGTTTAAAAAACGGAGCCAACGGAACCACAAAGCCCCACCTACATTATAGCCCTATAAATGAAGCACACAGACTTTATTAGAGCCACAGAAAGACAAACGTTTTGCTGAAAATGCACAATACACAATTCATTATGTACATTAACAACGATTCGAGGCCAATATAATGTAATATAAAGGAAAACTATGTGAATGGCGCTCTGTGGCGCGGCAGGATTTTCTGTCGGCTGCATTTAAATCCGCGTCTGAAGTTTCCCGCTCTGTTCAGCGTGCAGTATCACGTGTCTAAACAAATAGCACGTGCTGTCAATGATTTCAACCACTAGAGGCTGCTCTCGCACTGTGTAATGACAGCAGACCCTTCTCAGCCGCTCCAGCAATGGACGCAACCCGGGAAAACTATCGGCATGGATTTTTGATGATAACCGATAGTTCCAGCAGGAGATTATCGGTGCCGATTAATTGGCAAAACCGATACATCGGTCGACCTCTAGTTCTGACCAAAGCTGGAGATATCTTGGGCATGTTGCATAACAGTATGAATGGTGTCGTACAAAATACCTGTCCACCATCTGGTGCCAACTTTAGATCAAGGTCTATATAATATTTGGAGAAAGCTGTCTGTTAGCATTGCTGTGAATCATTTCCTCCGCTGGAACAGATACCCAGAGTAGTAGGCTGCACGATTAGAAGTCTGCCATCTTTGCTGGTTGCATAGCCTCTCCTCAGTTCTGCTGCCAGGTTGTATTGGGCAGTTCACTGCGAACTCAAAGGCAGCGCATAGGCAAAATATATTTTGTTATTTTTAGAGCCCTTGGGAAAAAAAGAGCATAAATCATATATTTGGTTCTAGTAGCAATATAGTCAAATATGTACCGGTACTTAAATGTTGCATGCAAAAAGTACTTCATCAGATTACACAGATATTTTTGAGTGATAATCAGTGGAGAACATGTTTTTTTTAGTCCCACCAGGAATTAACAATTGTTGATTGATTGTTATCTAACTAAGGTATTATTAAAAGCTGTCATTATTGCATTTAAAACTAAATCAATAAATGTTGCTAAAATTAATACATGTATTTAATTTTTGGAATCTGATTACATAATCTGTTTTACATGTAATCTGTTATTACCCAACACTGATAACAATATGTTATTAGAGCTAACAGGATTCTGCATGGTTCTGTATGGTAAATCTAATATATTTTATGTGACTAGACGTAAAATAGTCATACATGCAGAAAGCTTGTTTATTTTTGCCACACAACTTTTAAACAAGATTGTTACAAAAAATGACAACAACAGCGAAGCACATTACAAACACTGTGACAAAGATACAAATTAAATAAAGAGTGCTTTTAAAGTTTTCCAGGTAGCTAGGTTTAATATTCAGGTACAGAAATTGAATTGAGTCTCTCTCAAGGAAAGTCTGTTCACTGGGGGCTGTATTTGCAACACCTCCGGGCAGTTATTTAGGGCATGCAAGGCCAAGTGCTGTCTGCTTGAATGAGGAAATCCTGAGAGAAAAAAACAAAACAAAGAAAAGCGTGCCACACTCACATTTAAATAATATATTTCAAATCCGCAACAAAATCTGGCAGGAACTGCCGCATAAATAGTTTTTTATGCTCAAATAGCATTAAAAAAACGTATTGTTTGGGCTGAACCAGTGAATCGTTCTGATAATACACTGACTTCTAATAAGGCGAATTAATGGCTTCTGTTTTTTCCCCACGCTCCACCCCTAGACGTCCATTCTGGGAGTATGTAAGTTTAGTGAGCAGGTGTGAAATTCATCGAAAAGGGTGGTTTGCTTTACGTTAACAACAAATGCCTGTGTACAGCTATCCACTGTAATTACAGCAGTGAATTCCTGTAGGGAGCTCCAAAAATTCACCAACATATATAAAAACTACATGCAGTTGCTGTGAACTACTATAGTGTAGGATAACAATCTGCATTTGTAATATGTGAAATATGTGGTTTGAATCAGATTTGAATATGACAGTGGCTTGTTAGTTCCTCAGTGTGAGTAGAAGCTCATTGGTCACTGTCGATGACAGTTTCAAATGTGTTGGACATGCTCTACTTGCACACTGTAGCTTTACTGTGTGTATGCAAATGCATTTTGGTTTAATCAGACTTATCTAGTTGCCTCGAGTCCTGTATTGTTATATTGCAAATATTGAGAATTGGAACAAAGCTTTACTGTGTCATTGGACAAGTTCAGTTTTACTATCAGATCATCCAGCTCTTTGCAGCTATGATCAGGTAAAGTAGCTGAGGTGCTGAATCCTCCACCAAATCTGTGTCAGTAATAGATGAAAAGGCTTTGGCTGTATGAAAAGGGCCCCTGGAAGCAAGGCCTGGGAACTCAGGGGGTGGGCTTAGTGAAGGTTTGGTACCACATTTGCATATAGGCTTGTCTATTATTCTTGGTAGAAAGGGACTTTTCTGCTGTTGAATTTGGGTCAGTTTAATTGTACATTAAAGCCTCATTCAGGATGTTGAAATTTGGCCCATTCCCAAAGCTGTACTGGGTGTAGTTCATGTATTTTATGGCTTGAAAGTGTGTCAGGACATCCGATTAAGTGCTCTTACATACATAGTTAAAATTATGATAATTTTGTCAGCTAATTACATAATCTTTCTAAATCCAGCACATAGATTGCATCATTGGCAAAGTATATTTAAGACGATTGCTCTGTTATTTAACCTCCCTTAGAAATGTTGACATGCATTTTTTTATGTCTACTCTGTGTAATATGGCTGTGCAATTAATCGCATGCACATAAATCTCCATCACCTGCTTTCAGATGGAGCGGCATTCACTACACAGATGAATGCGATATCGCCTAGCATGTCCGTGAACTACGGCTCTGTGTAGTGAATGCCGCTCCATCTGAAAGCAGGTGATGGAGATTTACTACTAATCACGGGACCGGCTTTACTGACGAGATGCGCATGACAATCGCATGCGATTAATTGCACAGCCCTAATGTGTAAGTGTCTAGCCCTTCTTGCTATTCCATAACTCCTTTATCAGTAGTGTTTGTTTACTTGCTCTTGCTCAAAATCCACGGTTCTCTGTACCAATTTCGGTACCAAAGCAAAACACAAAAACATGCTAATTAAAAAATTTGACTCTACTTTCATTCAATCCAAACTGTGTACATAGTTTTAAAGGGCTTTTAAAACCTTCTAGAGTTATTCAGCCAAGAATAACAACTAAGTTAGCTAAAAAAAAGAAAAAAAAACAGAACTGCTTTTCTGACTGATGACACAAACAATGTTAACCGTTTGTACATTCTCTAACGCATATTTTAGCGTGTAAATTTGGAAATAAGTAAACATGTATAATATATAGCCAAATAAATAAGAAAGTAGAACATTAAAACGAGTAAGAAAGCTTGGAGGCCCGGCATACAACTTGATGTCAAATAAAATAAATAAATGACACAAATTAAAAATAAAGTAAAAATCAGCAAACAATGTGGAACCATTAAAATAAGAAACGAATGTTTAAAAAAAAAAAAAAAACTTCCAAAATCAGATAAACGGCAAAAGTCAACAGACTTTTCAAAATCCAAAATATTGCCAAACAGGCGCTTTTGCATCTCGTTTCGAAACTAAATCATCCGCGATCGTCTTGTCTGTCTCACCTCACCTCACTCTTCTTCTCAGTCAGCTCGACTCACTCTCCTCACTGGAGAAATGAAATCTGATCTGTGATGCGAATGTCGTTCGGCACGCTGCATTGAGCAGCCGCGTTCAGTTTTTAATTATATTGTCTGTTCTTTTACTGAACTAAATTATATTTTTTACTATAAAAAAATCTAAACGACGGTGGGGGTCGGTGACGCGGTGGGCAAGTGACGTAAACTGGTGTTGCGGCTTAACATCGGTATCACTGTCAGCACTGTCTATTGCGGCAAGCCTAGAGCACATGTATTTATTCAGTTAAATTTCAACATTTGTGATTTGATAATTGCACTAAGCTTATTTTGAATGCTCTTGAATACTCTAGCAACTCCCATGGCGACTTTTGTAAAGGCAAGCGCCACTCATATTTTCCATAGAAAATTTGAACCTTTAGTTGTCCTTCCCTCATGCAACCTCCTTGAGGATGTATTGCTCTATTGAGAGTGGCATGGCTGTCACCTGGTGCAGTTAATTGGGTTACGCTAATAAAATTCCTCCCCTTGTGTTGCACTGCAGTCCCATCCACTGCTCACTCACTGAGCTGTAAGCTGGCTCCTCCAAGACCCCTCTCTGGTGTAACGCTCCACAAGAGACACAGTGAGAGCTTTGGATTGACCTAGCAGCAGTCAATGTGTGCTTCGTGTATCTGTAGAGTATATTGAAAAGTATTGCATTTGTTCGTAGATAGTAAATGCATGTTTGTGCAAGAGTGAGTTTTTTTTATTTTTTATTTTTAGTTCTGTTGCACGCTATTGACGTGCTGAAATGGTGCCTACACGCCTATTATGCTCAGTAGCTTTCAATGGACATTCAACCGCCGTTCGGCTTACACAGGACACTATTTACATTTTGAATGGCAGTACTGTACAGAGGTTTAGAATGGGACTAAGCTGAGAGAGCGACCGATTGTTTGTGTGGTCAGGTTGGGATTGAATATTTGAATAATAGTTTGTTGAAGTCTGGTACCCAAATTCTTGCTGTTGGAGCGAGCAGTGACATGAAAGGTCACAGAGAGTAGGGTTCAATAGACCTCGGGTCGACAAACTGCTCATGGGAACCCCGGCTGTGGTCACTAAGGCTGTAACCAGAGAAAAGAAAGAAGGGATTTTGGGTGCTTTAGGGCATCCTGCTTTTCACATGAGGTCTTCAAGATACCAACATCATTTTAATAGGCCATTCACAAGAGTGAAGGACCAGGCGACCTTAACGCAAATGGTTAGTGTCAGAGCTGTAGTGTTTCTAGTGGTCTTAAAATGCTGCTTCCATAGGTAGCTCACAAAGTTCTGGAACGTAGCACATGACTGTCCATCCAGACGGTTTATGGAAAATTACAAGGCACATTAACATATGAACACCCGCTTTACATATAAACGTATTTAGCAATTTGTTCTGACCTGATTAACTTCAGTTTCACCACATTGTTTTTGGCAACAGTTTTACAGTGTCCAAAAGTGTTGTGCTCTGTACTCGAGCTGCACTTTTATGAAAGTTTTTTTAGTCTATCTTAACAAGCTTAGTGACCCAACTCTTGTGTTTTAGTTTTATTTCAAGATTCCAAGTTTTCACAGAGTTAGAGGCCTGTAAAGTCGAAATATTGTGTTCAAGAGGGCTGGCTCTAAAAAGCAGGCATTTACTTGGCATGGTACGGCCCGTTTTTTTTTTACTGCACAAGTTCTGTGGCGATTGTTAAGACCTTCTTTGTGTTTTAATCGCGCTCCTTTATTAGTGTTTACCATTCTGCTCTGGAGAGAATGGGTTGAATTCATGTCTCTCCTTAAATGCTGTTCTCCTCATTCACCCTTACCAAGATCTCGCTGGCAGGGATGTCCTGTGGCGAGCACAGGGGAAAAGATCTTAATAATTCAGTAGCATTTCTTCCTAACTTGCCAAAATCGGCACGCAAGGGCAGAGGAGTTATGGTAAGCTGGTCTAAATTTAGCCATGGTGGTGCATGCATGCCCTTGATCTTGAAATCCTGCTGTGGACCCTGACAAGTTCCTTGAGTCACCACAGTGCAATTCTTTATGGTGTCCACTGGGGTGGGCGATATAGCCTCAGAATTATATCATAATATTTCAAGAATATTTGCGATAACGATATTTATGGAAGACATGGAACAACATTTTATTGGTGATTGCAGCTGGCAGGCAGCAGCATTTATTAGTGCAAACAAAATAAAGAGCATTTGCCATCCTCGGCGGCACGTTAAGGCCAAAGTACTTCGGCATCATTTTTGTTATCAGGAGGGCTAACCCGCACAACCCATCCGCGTGCAGGCAAACGTGGAAAGTGAAGTATACCCGGGCCTTTACTGCTCCCGACGCGGCCATTCTAGTCAATGCTTGTGTTTACACCAGCGGAGCCGCGGCACGTTTCAGAAGCATCCCAGAAGCGGCTCTCCGCGCTGCTTCGCTAAAGATATGCGCCTCGCCTATTTTTGAAGGTAAGAGTGTGCGCTTGAATATGCTCTAGAACCGCTCTCGCAATACTTCGATGTCATAGACCGATCAGTCTGTGCAGCGCTGCTTCAAGTCGAACACACCTATTGGGTTTGTGGTGGTGGTGGTGGTGTTTTGTGCGTCAGGGAACGTATATCCACCATACGTCATCACGTCGCTATGTCATTGATATCGCGATATGACACTTTTTTTTTTTTATCATGTAAAAAATTATACCAGTATTATCATGGACGGTATGATATGGCACACCCCTACTGTCTACCTATGGACTGATGCCACGTAACTAGGGTTGGGAATTCAGAACTGATTCTTGTTCATTCATATACTGGAATCCAATGGTTTCATTGAGGTTCATTGAAGATAATAGATCTTTCTGTTGAGTTGCACATAAATGTCTTTCTGCTTCTACACAATAGTCAAACATACAGTACATAAAAACCATGACAATAGTTATGTAGGAGAGAGTGAGGACATGCCTGTGACCTATTTTACCCCTGTCGATTTTAAGCAGACCGATCGGTGTACAACGTCATAATTACCCCTTATGTACACTGCACGAGTCTACACTGCTTACATTTTTTTACAGTTTTACATTTACACTGCTCTCCACGCCGCTTCGCTAAAGATATGCGCCTCGCCTATTTTTGAAGGTAAGAGTGTGCGCTTGAATATGCTCTAGAACCGCTCTCGCAATACTTCGATGTCATAGACCGATCAGTCTGCGCAGCGCTGCTTCAAGTCGAACACACCTATTGGGTTTGTGGTGGTGGTGTTTTGTGCGTCAGGGAACGTATATCCGCCATACGTCATCACGTCGCTATGTCATTGATATCGCGATATGACACTTTTTTTTTTATCATGTAAAAAATTATACCAGTATTATCGTGGACGGTATGATATGGCACACCCCTACTGTCCACCTATGGACTGATGCCACGTAACTAGGGTTGGGAATTCAGAACTGGTTCTTGTTAAAGTCTGAGTAATATTAAACGCTTTCTGTGCATCTGTTGGCAGATATGTTCTAATCGAGTCCTCCTCTTTCTGACCTACAGCAGGGGAGTGACACAGTGTCAGAAAAGGGTGGGACTTGTGAATCAAGGGTGGAGCTTGAGAAACTGGGAGGTCCTGAGCTTCACAGACGGTTAAAGGAGGTGGATCCTGACATGGCAGCCATATTGCACCCTCATGATGCACGCAAGATCGCAAGGTAATTACTTCAGTGATAGCATATAAAACATTGAGACAAAGCTTAATTACAAGTCACAGAAAAGACTACTGTGTATTTCCACTGAGTGAATATTTTTACCTTTGCCACAGATCAGCATAGTATAATTTATAAGTATTTGTAAGAATTCTACGGCTCTGAATGGGTACTACTTACTATACAAAATGGTCCAGTGTTTGAAAGTAATGCTGTAATTAATTCAGGGTTTGAATTCCATTAAAATTTTTGGACCAGCAGGTCTGGCTCTTGGGATTAAGTCTGCATTTTGGATCTTGTTCTTAGTGAGCCTGGCAATGGTCTTGGTCATGGAACATCTAGTTTTGAGTCCAGCTCTGTGTATGCAAATATAACTATTTTCTTAATTTGTACCTATTCCGAGGTGTTAAAATTGAAGCTATCGAGTAAAGTTTCTCAAGTGCACAATAGTGATAGTTCATGGGGCTTGAACAGCCAACCTTTTTAGATACCAGTCACCCTATTTACTGTGTCTTTACCCTTTATTCCTCTTTCAGTTAATGCTGTTTATTCTTATACTTTTTATGTTGAGTTGTTTTTTCCCCCCTCATATATTTTTACAAAAGGAGTGGAACTTGACGTGAACTTGGGTAGGAACCTTATCATTCTGTCTTGCCATGGTAAATTTTGGCATTTGTTGGGCATCTATTTCTTTCACCTGTGTGGGAGAAATGCTGATGGCTGTGGCTTCCAAGCGTGCCTCAATTGGTGTTTGATTTGTATCAAGGGGCCGATTAGCACCTCTACTGAGCACTATGTGCTCGCTTAATTGATGCCAGCCTGTGTGCCACTGCATCTGCAGTATTGCCTCCGAGGATGAGCTCCTCTCCCACAGTTCACAGTGCTGATGTCTCCTCCTGATATCAGCTCCTTTTGAGAAACTCACAAGCTTGACACAATCCCATGCACCACCTCTGCAGCGTGACAAAACTTAACCTTCATTGTTCATATTTTGTTGTCTGTTAGTAGTTCATCATGTTTCTGTTTGATACATGGTGTGTTCTTTCCAAATAATATGTTCACCTAAGAGAATATTTGGCATGCGTAAATCTTTCAAATGCATTTGAGAAATGCATTAATTTAGCTGAAGTTATATGGTATTTTGACTATAAGTTGATGGCCAGTTGATGGGTTGGTTGATTGATTAACAGGAGTCTGCAGGTTTATATGGACACTGGAGTTCCACACAGTCGGCTTTTGGAGGAGCAGCGAGGACAGGATGGAGGAGATTGTCTTGGGGGTCCCTTGCGGTTCCAGGACCCTTGCATCTTCTGGCTGCACTACGAAACGAATGGTAGCTCCATTGTAGATTGGCACTGTAACATGTCTGCTCTATCCTTATTTAATTTCGTCATTTGTCCTCTTCTGTAGCTCTGGATGAGAGGTTGGACAAGCGTGTGGATCAAATGTTGTCGCTTGGGCTGATTGATGAGCTTAAAGATTTTCACCAACGCTTCAATGACAAGAAGATCAAAGAAAACAGGTAGCTCTCACTGTTGTGAAACAGAACTTTTTAGATTCATGATTCATGATAAACAGTTTATGAAACTAAACACTTGTGATTTTCTGACAACGCATAACCTAATATGCTAACTTGAATATCACATTGTCTTACATGCACTTCAGAGAAAAAAAACAATGACACAAATGTAACAAATTAGCAGTTTAAAGATAGGCTGTCATGATTTGTTGTTGGCTTTATAGATTCATCAGTATCTATAATAACTTTATTTTACTAGTAATTGGTGAACAATATAAGCCACCAATCTGTTGTACACCTCTAGGTTTAAGATCCTCTATTTGGTTTTGGAACTAGGTCAGATTTGTTTTGTATTCATAATCCTTGTATTACCTCTGAATGAACCATGTGAAACTTATCTCGCACAAGCTGCCTGACATAAAAGCTGCACAGCTGTCTTTTCTTTTCTTCAACTGTCAGAGAAATACAAGAAAGCGAAGTTTCACAGGCTGAACCTGTTCTGCAAATCAGACCTTTTACGTTAACGAGTTCTAGCAAGTAACCTGCTGTTCTTGTCAGGAGGGGGTTCTTGTCTTAAGTAATGGTGGGAATCCGGGGCTTTGACCAATGAGACGTTTTCAATAACTGACGTAGATGTCAGTTGATTTGGGCAAAGTGACTGAGTCGGTTGAATGACTCAGGTGTGTTTTGAGCAATGTCAGACATGGCCGTAGCCAGCTATGAGGTCACCAAGGTCTGGACCTCGGTAAATTTTTCATGGTCAAAAATAAAATTTGCTCTCTGAATGACTAATTTGCGGTTTAAAACTCCTCATATGAGTGTGTGCATGTATAATTCAGTTTAGACAGTTTGCAAGAATGTTTAGCGTCCGTGGTATGAAAATTATCATTGCAAGATGCTGGCGGAGTGAACAAGGCTTGAGAGAGTTGTGAGTGAGGGCGTGGGCACAGCCTTCGTTGTTGCCAGCTATTATAAGTGTCTTTGTACTTGTTTTTTCCACTTAATTTGACACTTTAGAAAAAAAAATAAAGAGGAAGTAGCAGTTTAGGGTTAGCGATATCTTTATCTTAATTACAGAAGATTTGATTTAATTTCGGTTAATTTATTTTTATTTTTTTGGTTTTTATTTGGTTTTCATAGCAATATCTGGCAACACTGCATCGCCGGCACTTAAACTAGCAGTAATCCAAAAAACCCACAGACAGGTTATTGCTGACAGGATACAACATTTGGTAAGGCAAATGCAAAAAACAACATATTATCTGTCAAACATTATCAACGCTATCAAAAACCGTAGCATTTAACACTAGTACACAGACCTGTAGGACAAGTAGGTTACAGAATGAAATTAAATATGCAAACATTAGCCATGAAGAAGTCTATGCTATTTCATTAAGTATAGTAGTTATATTTTCACAGTCATGCTAAGAACATTCATAAGAGCACTAGACAAACTTATCTATATAGCAACGGTTATTAATGAAAACTGTAACAGTAATATGTGTTGTTGTATGATTAATAAACACCTGATAAAATTATCCACCCCTAACCTATAGTAAAGTATTAACAAATGTTGATGCAATGAATATGGTATAATTTAACCGTGTTCATCCCTCAAAAAACATCTTTCACGAACATCTACATGTCTGTCTCTTTTAAAGTGTTAGTGTATATAATGAGTTGTTTGCACAATTCTTAACCCCACCCCAGACCTCACTAATTTTCAAACCCTGTTTAAGGCCAGGATGTCAGAGTACATGGAGTTACGAGAGGTTTCATTTACACATGTATGCCTTTTGAATTCACAGGAAATGTATTGGTCCATACTGCTGCCTAACATTTGATGCGACCGTGACATTAGCATTATACTGTGATTCAGGGCCTGTTATCCAATAAACAGATTTTTACATTTCATTGAGCTTGCCGTATTTATGAAGACTATAAATATCTCATCATGCATATATACGTAAATATGACATTAAAATGAACTGAAATGTAATACATTTCATACTTTCTCAAGGACAGTCAAGGCCATGTCAGCATATCTTTATAGTATGCTTCTCAAAGGCAAGCATCACCGGTACTGTTGCTCATACTTGGGTTAGGATTTAAACAACCCTCAGTGTTAAACTTTGGGACATAACTTATCCCACACCTTTTGAGGTTCAGACATCAATGAAATTGTTGACGATAAGTGCATGACACCCTGGACGCCATGGCATCTACTCATGACACCCAAACAATTGCGTAAAAACACCTTGGAAACCACTCATAACTGCCTAATAGGAGCCACTCACAACTCCCTCACATAGATATGCCCATGCAATCACTCATAACAGCCTAACAATTATATGGAAATGCCCTGGCAACCACTTATAACAGCCAAGGAATCATATGGAAACACCCTGGCAACCCCTCATAACAGCCTAGGAATCATATGAAAATGCCCTAGCAACCACTCATAACACCCTCACATAGATATGCCCATGTAACCGCTCATAACAACCTAACAATCACGTGGAAATGCCCTGGCAACCGCTTATAACACTCTCACATGTATATGCCCTAGCAACCACTCATAACACCCTCAAATAGATATGACCATGCAACCGCTCCTAACAGGCTAGGAATCATATGGAAATGGCTCGGCAACCACCCAACCAAAACACTCTAGCAACCACATAGAATTGCCCCACCATCCACCAATGACACTGTAGTTTTGTAGTGGTGATTTTTGCAAAGACAAGCATCATGTGGTGGCACAGTGCTGTCAGTCAATTTGCCAATCAGGCTATAGATATATGGCACAGCAGATTCAGCTGTAATCTTCAGATCTTTTAGCAATCAGAACATCAGCGAAGCCCATGATGCTGTGTCCCGTGCTTTAGACTGTATTTACTGATGCACTAACAATATTTGTTTAAAAGGTGATTAATTATTGATTGTTAGTGCTGTCGCATGCTCTGTTGTGTGGGGATATTGGTGGATGGACTGCACTGCGGTGTGTCTGTGTGGATGTTGATGACACAGCAGTGTCTGGGGTTGGGCCGCTCTGGGTGTGGCTTCTGCTGATTGATGGCCGAATGCCTGGCTCTCCGTCCAGCCGATCACACCCCGCCTCTCCTCTCAAACGTCTTCGTTGACAAACTTGCCAGCCAAGCTCTTTTCTCCTCTTTCCTCACGTCATCCCACTCTCTTCCTCCCCCTTTTTTCTCTTCTTTTTGTCTGCATCTGCCGCCCTTCCGCCAGCCCTCTCACCTTACACTGGAAGCAGTCACAAGGCAGCAAGGTCAGACTCTGCCTGTCTCTCCTTTCTATTCCCTCTCGGTCTATCTCGCTCTGTCCTGTCAATAGACCCCCTCCCCCTCGCCCCGTCTGCACTGTCTGTGTCCCTATGACCGGCTGATCTCTGTTTTCTGAGCTGTATGATGACTCATTTTAACCCCAGGGGCTGGTGTTCTGATGCACCCAGTGACCGGGTTTCCATCTAAAATTGAGTTCCATTAAACATTGAATTTGATTTCACCCTCGAGTTCGCCCAAAGGGCCTAATACTTATAATATTATTCTTTAAATTCTGCTACAGCTAAGCAATAACATTGATAATGAAACATTCAAAAGGAAAAGCTTTGTTGTTTAGTCTCGGTTTAATTACTGTAGCATTAGGTGTATTTGTATAATGAAGTGCATTTGAAAAATGTGAGCTGTTGTGGAAAAAGTGCACAATCTATGGTGCTGAAAAAACATGGGAGCACTTTAAACTATTTTTAAAGAACTCTTTAAAGTATGTAGTTTCATATGAGATGGTTGATGCTTTGACATTGCTTGTGGTTTCAGAATACTTTTACCAGTGCATAACGTAATATAATACGGTATATTCATAGCAGTGAAATGTTGCAAATTCAAGCTTTTGAGTTGCTGTTAAACTTCAGACATAACTGAACTTCACCCAGACGGAGCACAACAGAAGGCATTTATTTATCTTGTACATCAGATTTAGGTTCATATTTAATTGAAATTCATAGCTGAAAGAATCATAGCTGTATTAGCATAAACATTACCTATCCCTTACATTTCATAGGATAAAATACAGTTATGGTTTGCTGTTTTTGCAGAACATTTTTCTTCCTCTTTTTAAAAAAATGTAATTTCATTAAATTATTGCTGCTTTAAAACTGTGTACAGAAATGTTTGTTTTCTTATTGTTATATATGTATTCATTCATTTATTCACACATTGTATAGCATGCATTTACACTACTGTTTAAAAGTTTGGGGCTAGTTTTTTTTTTTTTTTTTAATTTTTATACTTAACACCCTTGCAAAAACCCAGAGCATTCTAGCGTTGTGGTGCTCTTGTGGACAAAAATCACTTACATTTACTCTAGTTGTGTACATAAGGAATTTAGTTTTCTCCTCTGTGTTTGCAGTCAGGACTATCAGCATGGCATATTCCAGTCTATTGGCTTTAAAGAGTTTCACGAGTACCTGACAGCAAGTGAGAACATCAGTCAGGAAGAACGTGACAAACTGAAGATTAAAGGTAAGGATTCATTCTCCTTTTCATTGGACTTGAGCTTGAATGTCTTCAGTCTTTTGTTGTTAAACTATAAACAGCTGTCAGTTCAGGACTTGAGAATGAACATAGTGAGAATGTTGATGTTCTTGAAATTTCTCTGCATGAGAACAGTTATGAAACCTTTTCTGACTTCGCACAAAACAGAGCAAACACAATCTCAGACACTCGTGCTGAAAACATTCTCATGCTCTTCCAAGCTGTTTTTTTTGTAACCGTCAAACAAACCAGCTTTTAAACAAAACACAAAGCAAAAACACTAGGTCCAACAGTGATTAAAATTATCATTATTATACAAAAATATGACTACCACCATCAGACAAGTTCATTGTACATGTTCATTATTAATTGCTGGTGATTAATTCTCATTACAGTAATGATTTCTTATGATTATGCTAACATGTCTGATGCTTATGTAAACAAACCAACAATTAAATAAATAATACAGAGGGAAAGTATGTTTCAGACATGTAATAAAAAACATTTTATGTCATATCTATTAAATTATTTACTCATCTGTCACAAAGTCTTTGACTTATCTTCATTTGGGAACATTTTCCTTTTATACTGATATGCTAATTATTTGATTAACCAGCATATGTAATTCAGTTAAAACTGGTAATGGATTACTAGTCCTATTATTTAGCAAACAGGTATTGTCTCCTGATTTTCAGTATGGGAATTGACAGCTGCAGTGGTGTTGGAGTCTGATCAGATGTCTAAAACATTCAGTGTTTAAGACAGAATGCTCTCAGTCTCTGTTAACAGCTGCTGAGGGGCTGTAGAGAGGGAGACATCAGGCTCTCTCTCTCTCTCTCTCTCTCTCTCTCTCTCTCTCTTTCTGTCAGTCAGTCAGTTGGATTGGTGTCAAGATCAATTACCGGCACGTTAAGCATGAAAGTTGCAGCACTCATAATGGCACTCATGTCTGCTGAGAGCTCATAAGTGTGGATTGCTTGTGTTGAGTGCTGAGCATTACTGACTTGTCATTATGCCATGGAGTCAACAATACTGCTCTTGGATGTTGTTGCTCTGATGTTTATATGATGGATTGTGAATTGCATTTATGTTTTGTGGGGATTCCGCTTTCTGTGAGCCCGGACAGGAAGTATTTTAACAGTTCAGATTCAAGATAAATCCCTGTGTAGCCAAATGATATTTCAATTTGGAGATAAAGGTTAGAATCATGATTTTTATTTGGGGGTTGTACTACAGCACATAGTGAGTGTATATTAGCACAGTTTGTTGTTTGCTTTGGTATCTGATAGAGCATTTGGACCTGCATTTGGATTCTGGTTAAAAATGTGTCATGGTTTCCACAAAAATATTAAACAGCCACTGTTTTCAACATTGATAATAATAAGAAATGTTTCTTGAGCGGCAAATCAGCATTTTAGAATGATTTCTGAAAGGTCATGTGATACTGAAGACTGAAGTATTGGTTTCTGACAATTCAGCTTTGCCATCACATTTTTAAAAAATTAAATTTTAAAGTTTTTGAAAATAGAAAATGGGTAATGTAGTCTGCATTTTCTCTGTGCTTCAAATTTAATGGGTGGCACACTGTTCTGTTGTCTACTGTAGTGTTAGCACGATATATCGGTACTAAAAAGGTATCACAATATCCTGCTTTTAAAAATGTTGCGATTCCGCATTTTACTAGTACCGGTACTTCAAGAATGTGTTTTAATAAGCTGTATTTCCTGAGTTGCATCTACGCGTGAGGCTGATGATACAGTAGAGCAGTGTGTGTGCAGTGCTAGTCATGCCAAACTTTATATATCTGCCCAGCGCAGGGCTGCTTAAACTTATTGACAATTTAAGAGTGGATAAGAAACATGCATGAATGAGAAAATAATAAAGCATGTGACGTGCATGATGTTAAAATGAGTTATTATTAGGGCTGGGGGCGATATGGCCCAAAAAATTATCATGATAATATTTTTCAAATCAGTTGATATCGATAATTATCACAATACATTTCAAATCTTTATTTCTGTCAAGTTTAAATGCAGATTTTTGCTCCTAAGTAAAAGTTGTACAAACCAGACCAACAATTGTGGTTTTAAACTTCTCTTTATGGTCAGAACATGACAAACACTTCACGTTTTTGAATTATTTTACACTTTGCCAGTCATTATCCCTTAACAAAGTAAATATCTCTATACAGAAATTAATTTCTTAGTTTCTGCATGTTCTAATGAGCGATATTGTTTCAAATAGGGGTGCTCCGATCAGGATTTTTGAGGCCGAACACAGAAAGCAGTATCTGCCGATACCGATCACCGATACCGATCTTTTTAAAGCCTTCTTTTTATCATTTATAACTATTTATAGTGATACTCCAATCAGGATTTTTAGATATTTATTCAGCTTATACAGGTGCATCTCAATAAATTAGAATGTCGTGGAAAATTTCATTTATTTCAGTAATTCAACTCAAATTGTGAAACCCGTGTATTAAATAAATTCAATGCACACAGACTGAAGTAGTTTAAGTCTTTGGTTCTTTTAATTGTGATGATTTTGACTCACATTTAACAAAATCCCACCAATTCACTATCTCAACAAATTTGAATATGATGACATGCCAATCAACTAATCAACTCAAAACACCTGCAAAGGGTTCCTGAGCCTTCAAAATGGTCTCTCAGTTTGGTTCACTAGGCTACACAATCATGGGGAAGACTGCTGATCTGACAGTTGTCCAGAAGACAATCATTGACACCCTTCGCAAGGAGGGTAAGCCACAAACAGTCATTGCCAAAGAAGCTGGCTGTTCAGAGTGCTGTATCCAAGCATGTTAACAGAAAGTTGAGTGGAAGGAAAAAGTGTGGAAGAAAAAGATGCACAACCAACATAGTGAACTGCAGCCTTACGAGGATTGTCAAGCAAAATCGATTCAAGAATTTGAGTGAACTTCACAAGGAATGGACTGAGGCTGGGGTCAAGGCATCAAGAGCTTCCAGAAGACCAACAATTCACAATTTTTTTTTTATTGGTCTTATAAAGTATTCTAATTTGTTGAGAGAGTGAATTGGTGGGTTTTTGTTAAATGTGAGCCAAAATCATCACAATTAAAAGAACCAAAGACTTAAATTGCTTCAGTCTGTGTGCATTGAATTTATTTAATACACAAGTTTCACAATTTGAGTTGAATTACTGAAATTAATTTTTCCACGACATTCTAATTTATTGAGATGCACCTGTATGTGTTGACTGTGAAACAGAGTAGACTTTAATATGCGTTTATAATGTTATTACTACATTTTCGTGTCAATCCATGTTCATATTTACTGCAAAAAATGCGCTGTTACTTTAATTCAGCGCTTGCAGTGCAGAAATGGACTCGGTGCGGAAACGAACTCTGCACTGCTGCAGACGCACCGCTCCTGGAACGCACTTCTGGAACGCAACCGTGTGCATTGTGCATGCTTTATTAATCCATTAACATGAGCGCGGAAAAAATACGCACCACATTCGCACTGCAGACGGAGTAATGTGAACCTGGCATTATGTGTGTGCGCTGCGAGTGTGCATGAGCCTCCATGCATGAGGTCTCCAGGAGAGCGAGCGAGCGCTGAATGGTTAAACACTGGTATGAATGAAAAAGCAATGCAATTTATAAACTTTAGTGATGATGTGACACTGCCTCGATAGTGCAAGTGACAATTCCTGTGTCGACTGTGCAGTGTGCAGCTCGCTTATAGACAGACGCGATGTGTGGTGATTTGAAGACATTTGCGTATTTTGAGAGAGAAAGGGTTTGTGAAATTACATCTCACACAAGGTTTTCAAATTACTTTTAGAAGTTATTTAATTAAGGAATATGAAGGTGAGTACATCTCTTTCAGCATTATAATTATTTTACCCGCGCCGGACAGAGACCGAGACAGTGCCGCTGCATGTCATGCCAAACCTCTCACAGCAGCATCATCATCTTGAGATCGGCCTTTTTAGAGACCGCCGATCAAACATCCCAAAGCGATTATCGGCCGATAGTGATCGTAGCCGATCAATCGGAGCACCCCTAGTTTCAAATCTCCACCTTGGCTAAAATAGTTGATCAATCAGATTCCCCTCTTGATATTGTCCAATCAAGACTGATTAAACAAACATTTGATGTAGTTGGGCCTAGTGTTTTATCAATAATAATTAGCTGCCTTGCATTGGAGACTGTTCCTGCTTCTTTAAGCATGCTGTAGTACAACATTTAATTAAAAACACTAAGCTGGATCCAACAGATTATTCAAATTATAGGCCTATTTCAAAATTACCTTTTGTCTCGAAAGTGCTAGAGAAAGCTGTTCTAATTCAGGTGCTGTCTTTTTTTAATTGGAATTCTTTATTTGAAGTATTCCAGTCTGGGTTTAGGGAGCATCATAGTACAGCGTCTGCACTTTTGAAAGTTCTCAACGATATTTTGCTAACTGTAGACTCTGGTGATGCTGCAGTTTTGGTGTTAATAGACCTTAGTGTGCAGCCTTTGACACCATTGACCATGAAATCATTATTGCACGACTTGAACGGTTGATGGGGATTTGTGGCACTGGTTTAAGTCACGTCTAACTAATAGGAGCTTTTCAGTTACCCTGGGTGAATTTACATCATCGTCGGCCTCTTTTATATGTGGAATCCCTCAGGGATCCATTTTGGGACCCATTTTGTTTTCATTGTACATGCTTCCAATTGGGTCTATTTTTAGTTGTGATGAGAGGGGCGGGGCCGAGAGCCGTGGGAACGGAGTGAGGCCGGTGGAGAAAATGCTAATGCACGACACCTGCGCCACTCACCGGTCTCGAGTCCCACGGAGGAGCTACGGAAGGATAAAAGGAGGAGTGACGGCAGTGTTGGAAGGAGAGAGGACCAGGCCTGGATCCACGGCTTTCGGCCCCGCCCCTCTCGTCACATTAGTAAACATGGAATATCATTTCATTGTTATGCCGATGATACGTAAATATATGTACCAGTAAAGAAGGAAGGCAACTCCTTAGAGCCTCTTCTTGCATGCTTAAAAGGTGCACTAAGCAATATTTGAAAATACACTTTTGACCACAGTGTCCCAAAACACACTTGCTGTCAATCAGCAGTAAGGGGCGTGTGTAGTAATGAGAGGGAGAAGAGATAGCGAGAGATGGCAGATAAAAAAATGGCAGATGTTGCTTTGTTTCTTCTTGATAAGTGAGGTACTTTGATTTTTACGTTGAATTACCATAGTAACACACATCGCTTTCACTTATTGACGACATCAATCCTTCGGCCGGCAGGCATAGCAGATTCCGCCATCGTCGATGCCAGGGTTGTGTACATACGTGTGGGGCGGAATTATCAAAATAGGGGCGAGGTCCGGTCAGGGTATGGGTGTGTCTGTTTTGATGTTTTCAGTTTTCACTTTACATCGTTTGGCAAAATTTGCTTAGTGCACCTTTAAAGGACTTGAAAAAATGGTTGGCTGTGAATTTTCTGCACCTAAATGAATGTAAAACTGAGACTATTGTTTTTGCACCCTCCAATGCATATTGGTCCACTAATATTGATTTAGGCCCTTTATCTATTTATTTAGGTGTAAAAAATGTAGGTGTAATATTTGCTCTTTTTTTTTTTTTTTTTAAGTAATTAATACAGATGCATTAATATTGCATTATAATACTCCGGTAGTTATTTTAACAATGATTTAATTTTGTATTACAGTATTATAAGACTGAATTCCAAAAAAATATCCATATCACATTTATCCAAAACGAGATTGGGTTCTACTTTCAAGTTTATTTACAATATAAATATAAATATAAAGTGCTTTTGAAAGTGTTTTTTTTTTATAAACTTTGTTTGTATCTCAACTCAGCATGAGAGCTTGAGTGTGCTTATATGACTTTGTTTTTAAACCTTGATATCATAAGTGATCATTTACTCACCCACATGTCAATCCAACCAAATCTTTCATGCATCAAAATGTACAAAAAGCCATTGTAAAAATATGAAGCTAAGCTGTGCTTGCTCAGTTGACCATTTTTGATGTGCTCAATGCATTCATTGATTAATGTTTGTGTGAATAAAAACCTAAAATAAATCTGTTCAAATAAAGTAGTAATATTTCAAATAAAGTAATTGTGTCTCTTCAGAAGACTTGGATTAAACCACTTAATTCAAATGGATTGCTTTTGCAATGTGTTTTTGTAGTTTTTGATTCATGAAAGTTTTGTTGGCAAGGACTTTCAAAGGACAAAAATGATGAGTGAATAGTTTTGGATGAAGTGTCCCTTTAAATTTAACGGTTCAAATCCCAATATTTGTCAAAAATCGTAAATTTGACTAAATTGTGCTGTCGTAGAACATAGACACAGCCCAGTGTGCTCTGGCACCAGTGGTATACTGAAGGGGAAGTGGATTGAGAGAGAGGGAGGCTGAGAGTTTTAATGGAACTGCCTCTTCCTCTTCCCCTCATTCTCTAGGTTTTGCTATTAGCACTTAAAATTGTGTCAGTAAACCCATCGTGCATGACTACTTTTCACTTGACTTCTCCCACAACATCTCACATAGTACTTGGTGTGACATTCATGTATCGATCTTGTTATTTCCTCCCCCTCTCACAGGGATCGAGTCGCTCAAGCAGGCGACCCGCCGCTACGCCCGAAAACAGAACAAATGGGTCCGCAACCGATTCCTCAAGAGTAAGTCTCACTGAATACACACTCTTTTCTAAGTTTGGGTGCTGGTGTGGTGTAGTGGTCAAGTTCAGAAGCCAGCTTATTTGATCCCCACAAGGTACCAAACTGCAGGGTATTCAAGCCATAATATCCCTGGAATGGCATTGCATGAAACCTTTAGTGTGACTTCTCTTCCCCTTTCCATCCTGTTGCTATTGTTTGAGAGTTTAATGGTCTGTGAGGTACGGTCTCTGCTGCTGGATGCTCCGTAACACCACAGCTGTGCTAGTTCAGAGTGCATCGTAGCCACTGGCTTTAATTTGGATCACACTTACTCTCACAGGAATTGCAGCCACAGTTCACTCATCTGAGTTCTGTATTCATTGGTGCGCATTACATGTTGGCTTCACTCTTGGCTTGTCTGTTGTATATTGGCTTCAGTCGCCCTCAGATGTTACTGGAGCTGTGTATGTGTGTCTTTTTTTCGTTTTCTTTCAGAACGGTCCAATGGTCAGGTAATCACAGCCGTTTTAACGAGATGGACTTCACACAGACCATTAAACACACAAACTGCTGAAATACAGTGTGTGTTTGAAGGCTACTCCTCCCTTACAGACAATCTCAAAATTCCAAGACTCAGGGTTCAGTATTTACCGGCCTTGGGTTGATAAAAGATCAAATGCTTGTAAAGCTTGGGTGTTTCGAGACACAGTCCGTCTGAACAGTTTGTACCTTTACTTCTTAACAGACAACAGCCGAATCAGCAAACCCGTCAATGGATGAACAGCTGTGTGTGTATGTGTGTGCTGGTGACATCAGGGTGTGAAGTTTATCTAGAGAAAGGAAGTGAAAGGGCACTTCAAACGAATGGAGAATGTACAAGTGAAACACTGTTAGTTGTTCACATAATAAAAGCTGTAAAGTTAAAAGGAGGGTGTGTATGTGTGTGGCACAGGGGGCGTTCACACAGGTTGTCTTGTGGTTTATATTGTATTCAGAAACAGCTAGACAGAATGGGACAAATACAGAATGCAGGAGTCCCAAGGGTGGGGGTGTTAAAAGTTAAATTAATTTTAACTTGTTGCTTATAGAGTGGACTGTTTGATGCATATGTACGTAGACCGAAAATGTAAAAAATAGTACAGACAGAATGCAATAACTCATCCTGTTTATAGAACCTATACAGGAATAATTCACCCAAAAATAATAATAATTTTGTCAGACAGCATGTTGTTCCAAAATCAAAACCCTGAAATAACACTGAGCAAAAAAGCCAGAGATGTATTAGTATTATAAAAATGTATTGTCATATCCGTGTCCTCTTATGTCAGATTCTTAAATTTAATCAATTCAAGATTCAATCAACAAAATTCAATCAGAATAAAAAGACATGTTGGATATTAACATGTCTTAACATCCATAGATGGATTTTGCATAAATTAAGTTTAAATATAACATTTAATTGTAGAAATATAAAATTATTGCAAAAATGAAATGATATACTACTACTTTTTTTTTATATGAATATTTGTACTATATCGTAGGCATAATTATAAAAACAAACTCATTAAATGGCCTTTTTAAAAAATTTTTTTTATCATTTTGAAGACATTTCTGCCCACTATGTGTGATGGGAGTGAGACCGGGAGAGAGCACCGAAAACTTTTCAGATCGCATAATTTAGTGGAACATTAATATAATATACTGTACAATCGTTCTCTGTAAAGAAATGAGGCATGAACATATGATAATTTTATCAAGATTTGGTTTTTAAAAAGCCTTTTTCCAAAAGGTACATCTGGGAAAAGGGGGGTCGTCTTATAATCAGGGTCGTCTTATATTCGGGCCAATACGGTAATCATAAATACCAGTTTATGCTGTTTGATTATGGCCTCGAAGGTCGTAATTGGAAGCTGTTAGCATCGCCTGGCCAGTGGAAATGTGGCTAATAATTTCTGAGTGGCATATAACTGAACAAATCAAACAAACGTAAATGGGGAAAGGCAGGGCCCATGGGCTGCTGCCCGGTCAAGCCCAATGGTAAGTCTGGTCATTCCCACCACTCTCCTAACCTTTGCTGGACTCTGCGAAGGGTCTGGCTGCAGACATGCACTCTCAGACTGCACTTCCGCAAGTGATGTCACTTGCAATCTTTTTTATTTATTAATTATTATTATTTTTAATTGAATCTCTCAACATTTTACAACAGTAGCCGGGTGGTAAAGACAAGAAAAAAAAGAAACAAAATTACAATGTCACTTGCAGTCGCCGCCTGCACTCTGAGCTACCTGCGACATCACTTGCAATGTACACAAATCTTGCGTTCTGCCAATGGCGACGAGAGGCTGTAGTGGTTAAATTATTAAAACTTATTTAGTACTATAACGTACAGGGTCCTGTAAATCACGTGAAGGAGAGAAAGACGAGACCTGCACATCCATGGCCACAGAAAAGCAGAATATGAACACAATGCGCAAAGTCTCTCGTTAAGCATTTTCCATATGTAGAAAACCATTAACACTTTATATGGCTTAATGCATAAGACAGTGATTTTAAAATACCAAATTCGATATATCTTTTTTCTTGTCTTCACCACCTGGCTACTATTGTAAAATGTTGAGAGTTCAATGTATTGACCCTATTGGAACTCTGACCTGCTTTTGGTCTGGTTAAGCTGCTGTGGCTGTCTGTCAGTGGCCTAACTGATCCCTCCCTCCACACCCCACGCATCCCAGGGCCTCATGGGGCCCTCAGCTGACCGGTTTAATCCTGCAGGCATTAGTGCACTGCTAGGAATTCAGATTGGTGGCAGGAGGTTGAGTCTGTGGTGTGGCCTCTTGGGGATAAGGACTGTGGGGTCATTGAAAGCAAACTTGGGTTCATTGTCCTCCTGGCCTCTATGGGGCAATCAACAATTCCTCTTTAATTTTTCAGTCAGTGTTTTTTCATTTGTTCTCTTTATTTTTTTGTGAATTGCGCTCTAAGGTGCTATGTATATGCCAGTTTGGTATATTGATTTTGTTGGCCCAAGAAGGGAACATTACTCTGAGCAGTCAAACAATTTTTGGAAACTAAGTTCTTGTGATGTGCCACCCTTATTAAAATCAATTGATTTGCAGCCATTAGCCAGCTCAAATGCTCAGCATGCTTCCTTGTAGAGCTGAGCCCATTTTGAACCCTACTGTTGACAGTGTAACAGCTGAATTTGGGATTAGGGTGAACCTGAGCTCCATATCTCCCTGTGCTTCCCCAGGGAGATTGGGCTGAGCAGCTTGGGGGGTAACCGTGACAACGGCTCAGTTGATGGCTTGGGAAGGCAACGTGAGCATTAAATAACCGTCTCTTGCCTTTTGTCAACGATAGGGGAAACCTGAGTGGGATGTGCGACAGGTGCGACATAGAAAAGTGTCCCCTTACACTCTGCACACCTCGGGACACACCCCGCACTCCCTAAAATACATTCCCGCTGCAAGACTGCTGCCAGCGTATAGATGAAGATTGCCACGTAATGTATAAGAAAGTTTAAATGAGATTAAGGGATGAGAGAAGAAAAAACACAGCTGCTGATGTGTTGACCTGGTGGCTGCACCCTACAGCTGGAAGTCTGATGATTACGACTTGTGGTCATTTAATTTCTTAGCACTCACTTCCTGTTTGAAATGTCCAAAGATGACTGACAAAGTCCTACAGCTGTCCAGCATTGCAGCAGGTGTCCTGTCCTGAAATCCATATCTGCTTTCGTCCTTTCTTGCCCTAGGCTCTCTTATCACATAAACAGCAGCAGGTGTGACTGCTCAGTGAGTTTCCTTATGTCCATGACTTCAGAGACTCTAGAGGATCTGCCATTTGGTGAGCGAGGGGTCTTTTCAGATTTTAAAAGACGCCAGACGTACGGCTGCCTGCCGTGGGTGTACTGGAAAGGCGCCACCTCATTGAGGCAGATAATTGAGATCTCTGTGCTTAGAAACCCTTGTTCTCTTGTCTTTTCCACCATTCAGGTCTGGCAAGATTACTTGACTTGGATTTCACTGAGATTTTAATTTGGGGCGGGAGAGAAAGACCTCCGTTCAGCATCTGTTTACCCCCAGATGGCCATCGTTGCCCTGTTCCCTCTAATTAAATTACCCCAGAGAGAGAGATGGAGAGGGAGAAGTTTAAAGAAGTATGTAAAGGTACATAAAAAGAAAGTCCTCCACTCCCCACATGTCTCAGGTAGGCCAGGAGTCTCTGTGCAGGCCCACCTGCTGCCGCTCTTTTCTGATAAGCACAATAGCAGACATAAAGACTGCAGAACTTTCTTTGATTAGAAGCTACTGCAAGCAAGAGGCAACAAGGTTTAGTTTGGGCTAAAGAGATGCTTTACATCAGCTAAGTGGGATGCTGGGTTGCGTGTGTGAAGGAACACCTGTGTGTTTGATGCCAATGCAAAACATGTACAGGCAAATTAAAAGGCGTTAGTCCTATAATGCTATTTGTATCTCATTTGGTGCATGAAACATTATCATGATCCATACTTTCAGGTTTTTGCTGGGAGATTTTGCCGAGTTGAAAGTAATGGATTTTAATTTATTTAAAAATGTATATTTGGTGAGTTTAAAGGGGTCATATGATGCGATTTCAAGTTTTCCTTTCTCTTTGAAGTGTTACAAGCTCTTGGTGCATAAAGAAGATCTGTAAAGTTGCAAATGCTAAAGTCTCAAATCCAAAGAGATATTCTTTATAAAAGTTAAGTCAACCACGCCTACCTAAAACGGCACGTTCTAACACACCCCCACATGTCTACCTCACTATGTGAGAAGATTTGCATAACGCCGCCCAAATGTTCACGCAAAGAAAGAAGGCGTAACTTTTATTCTCGCTGTAGTATTGTTGTTGCTGCCGCCGCCATGTCGTGAAGGCGCTGTGTGTTTCGTTGTGAAAGCGAAACTACTTTGTTTGGCCTTCCAAAAGAGGACACGACTAGAAATCAGTGGTTAAGTTATATTTACAACACTGTTCCAGAACAGTTCAACCCAAATATTCAGATGTGTGCTGCGCATTTTATGGAGGACTGTTTCCTGATCCTGGGAGAGTAGACTACAATGCCGGCTGTTCTGACTCACAGACTGTAAGTACGTTTTTTTATATTTAAAGATTTTGCCACTGATAAAGCAAGTTTTGAGCAGTGTAGAGTAGCGCTTGTTGTTTGTAATTTCTCCGATCACAAATACAGACAGGGTTTAATGTTTACGCAGCGCGATGCAACACAATGCGTAAAAAGACAGTATAAGTCATTATAATCCGTAATTATGTCCCCACTGAATGCAACAAATGCCTCGTTTATATTGGGTTTTCAATGTTTTTGTCTCGTCGCTCCGGCTGGTACAAGGCATCACAATATGGTAAGGGGCGTAACATTTCCGTCACACGCTTGAGGTATTCGGCCAATCACAACGCACTGGATAGCTGGCCAATCAGAGCACACCTCGCTTTTCAGACCGACGCAGTTTCAGAAAGGCGGGGCATAGGGGAGAAACAATAATGTACAGTATGTGGAAAATGTGTTTTTTGAACCTTAAACCGCATAAACATTTCATTACACCAAATACACAAAATAATGTTCTTTTTAGCAACATGATATGACCCCCTTTAAGCAAATATGCCTATTAGTGCTTTTACTTTTCAACAATTAAAAAAAATAAAATAATTTATAACATTTGATACTGCAGGTGTTTGAGGTATATTTAAATCATCATCATTGTAATGCATTTCATGATATATTATGCCCACTTAAATATCCTATTTTTTTTGCATAATATGCATTTGGTTGTCATTCAGGTTTTCTAAATACCTGTTGCATTATAATAATTTTATTGTGCTTGTTTAATATTATGGATGTAGTTATTGTTGTGTTTCAGGATTGTCATACTTTGTGGTGTCATCTGGTTTTGCTGTAATTGTAAACAAGCACAGGGTGATAAGGAAGTAAATTGCGTTTGGAGTCATTCCAGTGGTTGGCCCAGGGTCAAATTAGAAACTGTTGGTTCCTTTTTGCCAGATGTGGTGGAACAGTTTGACAAAGAATTCGATTTTCTGCAATAAACATTTAACTACGGTTACAAACAATGTTCAGTGTTCGTGTACTTTGCATTTTATGTAAATCAAGCTTTTGCATAGTAATTCTTTTAACTACGAGCCTTCATGCATTAAGCTGTTTTAAGTACGTTTCTCTTTGTGACAGTACTGGACTTCTGTAACATTGGCCTCAGGCAAGCAGGTGTGAATGCTGGATGATATTATCAGCAGTGTCCTTGTGAAATAGTGACTTTTCTCAATTTTCTGTTACTTCTGTTGTTGTCCTTTTGAGCTGGACTCCTTGTAATCTCTTAAGAGGGTTTCAACCGCAAAAATTATAGTAGCAGTTGTAAATGCAGCAGTTTTGTACTAACAAGAAATCATGTTTGTTAGAGAAGGGCGTAGTGTTAGTTTGCTGACACTTAGGAACATTTCAGAAATGTTTGTCCCCAGTAGTTTGTTAAAATGCATTCTGCAGATTGTAAGAGGTCAGGTTTCTTCCTTATAAAAAATAAATAAATCTCAAATATGAAAAAATATGTCTAACCGTCACGGTCTTCTTGGATGCAAACACTCAATTTTGCAAACACACCATTGTGCAATTCGGTAATAAGAATTAATAAACAGGCTACACATCTTGAGAGCTCTTCCATATTCAGTGTGCATTTGTAAAATTTACTAAAATTTCCTCAAAGAAAAACTAAAATTAAGTACAGGATGTCATAAGTAGTTTGACAGTTCAACTAGACAGCGTTTGAAAACAGCAGCTCTAAAAATATTGTGCCAGACAGATGCTGCTTTGAAACTGGTGATCATTCACAGCAGGAACATTTTAACTGCTCATGTCTTCACCAGGACGTAACTAAGCCTCCCTGAGCCAAACCACTGCAATTGGTCATAGTGACACTTCAGTGACCAGAGTTGGATCAAATCAAATTGCATTAGTTAATTGCTGAGCAAGTTGTTTTCTCCACTTAATAGGCTAGAGATGCACTATTTACTTTTTTTTAGCTGATGCAGTAACACTTTAACAATAATTACTTTTTTGTTGTTGCCTTTATTAATTTGTAAAACTCCAACAATGCACCATGGCAGTGCCAATTTTACCTTCAAAATACCTTGTTTTAGGACATGAATGTTAATGCTTTGTGCTCTTCCATATTCAGTGTGCATTTGTAAAATTTACTAAAATTTCCTCAAAGAAAAACTAAAATTAAGTACAGGATGTCATAAGTAGTTTGACAGTTCAACTAGACAGCGTTTGAAAACAGCAGCTCTAAAAATATTGTGCCAGACAGATGCTGCTTTGAAACTGGTGATCATTCACAGCAGGAACATTTTAACTGCTCATGTCTTCACCAGGACGTAACTAAGCCTCCCTGAGCCAAACCACTGCAATTGGTCATAGTGACACTTCAGTGACCAGAGTTGGATCAAATCAAATTGCATTAGTTAATTGCTGAGCAAGTTGTTTTCTCCACTTAATAGGCTAGAGATGCACTATTTACTTTTTTTTAGCTGATACAGTAACACTTTAACAATAATTACTTTTTTGTTGTTGCCTTTATTAATTTGTAAAACTCCAACAATGCACCATGGCAGTGCCAATTTTACCTTCAAAATACCTTGTTTTAGGACATGAATGTTAATGCTTTGTTTTTTCTTAAGTGGCTTTGTATACCATGTATAAAACCCCTTTCCATGAATGTAATCATTTTTTACAGTTCTATTTACTGTTATTACTACCTGACACAATTTAAAACATGGTGCCACCACAGTACTGCGCATAGAATGTCATATTATTGAAAATTTCAGTATTTTCCCAAAAAGATCAAGAGTCTTTAATGCTGGCTTAAATGATATGGTCACAGTTATGGTATGATGTGGTAGAGTTTATTGCAGCACCAGACAGCCAAGATCAGAGAAGATAGGATTATGCTAATTCAATTCAATTCAAGTTTATTTGTATAGCGCTTTTCACGATACAAATCGTTGCAAAGCAACTTTACAACAAATTAAGTTTCTACAATATTTAGTAGTAGTTTATCAGGGGTGACTGTCAGTTAATGTACATATGGCAGAAATGTATGGAAAAATCAATTAAAGACGTAATCAAACACACAATGAACACTATTAACAGCAATTAATATATGACGCGATCAAACTTATAGCAAAATGTGGTAGTTCTGTATGTTGTTTCAGGGTTGGCATCATCTGAGGTCCTCTGAGGAGTTGCATCATCTCTTCTCAGGTGTTCTGGATCCAGACTGAAGCTTGTGTAAATCCTAGTTACGGCAAAAACAGAGAAACAAATAGAGACATAATTAGCGTAGCTGCTGTTCCAACCAAGCAAAATTGATTTGTTTAACCCAAACTAAAGAATAATAATGTGCATTTGATCAGATATAACTGCAGTACAAGATTATGAGATGCATTATTTGAATGCTTGGTCAAAGAGATGTGTCTTTAATCTAGATTTAAACGGAGAGAGTGTGTCTGAACCCCGGATGTTATCAGGAAGGCTATTCCAGAGCTTAGGAGCCAAATGCAAAAAAGCTCTACCTCCTTTAGTGGACTTTGCTATCCTAGGTACTACCAAAAGTCCAGAGTTTTGTGACCTTAGGGAGCGTGATGGATTGCAGCGTGGTAGAAAACTAGTTAGGTATGCAGGAGTGAACCCATTATTGATTTGTTTAACCCAAACTAAAGAATAATAATGTGCATTTGATCAGATATAACTGCAGTACAAGATTATGAGATGTATTATTTGAATGCTTGGTCAAAGAGATGTGTCTTTAATCTAGATTTAAACGGAGAGAGTGTGTCTGAACCCCGGATGTTATCAGGAAGGCTATTCCAGAGCTTAGGAGCCAAATGCAAAAAAGCTCTACCTCCTTTAGTGGACTTTGCTATCCTAGGTACTACCAAAAGTCCAGAGTTTTGTGACCTTAGGGAGCGTGATGGATTGCAGCGTGGTAGAAAACTAGTTAGGTACGCAGGAGTGAACCCATTAATAAGGGCCTTATAGGCAAGTAATAATATATTGTAACTGATACGGAATAAAAAGCTAATGGAAGCTTTTTATTCGTATGTCTTTTCTACTCTTATTTTGAGGAGTTTAACATATAATTGATCTGGATAATGTGGCCATTGTTACTAATTAGAGAAGTAGGAGGATTTGATGCATCAATCATGAGAAGAGATGTTTTTTTTTTACTTGGACCCAGAACACCCTAATAAACCTAATCTTTTCTGAGGTTTAAGTGGTTTATGTGTGTGTGTCTGTGACTTTTTTTCCTCTGCATATGTTTTACGTATGAGCCTCTCATTATCTGTTCATGTCTGCTGTATTGTGTGTGGAGCAATAGCGTTGAGCGAGTCAGAGTGTGGTTGTCTCTGCTGACAGTGTCAGAATGCTGTTTGAGATTGAGCGGCAGTGATTCAGCAGGTTCAGGCTGCTGCAGGCCCTCCCCACTTCTCCATACTGATTCACTGCACCACACCATAACCAGACATATTCTGTCCCCTTCTAAAACAAATTTTAGGATCCCATGATAGTTTTTTTTAATTGTAAGTCCTTGTATGTTAGCTTTTTCCCCCTACACAGCAAATCATGGTCATTGTTTTCCCCAATGCACTCAAGCTGGAAGTTAAGGAAAGTAATTTATCCATTAGCCTAAGGTTTAACATTAACATTTCTCAATTAGATTTTGTCTGAGAACATCAGCTTGAGTACACAGTGTTCAGACTTTTACATTGCTCCATGATTATTCTGCAGGTTTAATCAAGATGCTATTTCATCAGTCGTCTTTTGTCAATTTATCTTCCGATTCTTCAGGACCTGCTAGCAATGTGCCACCAGTTTACGGTCTGGATGTGACAGACGTGACCAATTGGGAGACTACTGTACTTACTCCTGCTCTAGAGATCCTGGACTGCCTTCAAAAGGTTTGACTTGTTTTCTTTCTTGTTTAGTTGGCAAATAATGTCTCCTTTACACCCCGCTGATCATCATTTGTCTTGTGAACCCAACCATGGCGGTTATGCAAAATAGTCAGTGATTTTTGGTGGCATTTTCTTACGTAAGAGTTTTTTTTTTTTCCCAAATAATTTAAAAGTAACAAGTCAATTGCAATCCATACTTTATTATTATGTATTTAATGTTAATATATTTAGCACCTCTCCTTTTAAAATCATTTCAGGGAGAACAACCATCTGCACAGCCAATCAGAGCAGAGGGGATGGATTCTCGCAACAAGCGGAGTCATCATATGTGCGACCTGTGCGAGAAGGTGATCATTGGCGACTTAGAATGGACGGGTGAGTTTCTGCTCTTCAAACCAATGCATTCTCAAACGTCTTACAACAAGAAATAAGATGTTAAAATTTGACCTGTCCTGTTCTCCAGCACACCAGAAGTCCAGAAACCATCTTTATCAAGTCCGCACGAAGAGAAAAGCCGAGCAGGCCTCAGATCAGGACCCAAACCCTACCAAACATCCAAATGTCAGTGACGGGCAGGTACCTGTACTATAGCGCTCCCCTCTTTGGATCTATTGGGGTCGAGCTCACAGATGGACCAAAGAAATGAAGTGCTCAATGTAGCTGCAGTGATACCTCAACTCTCCCTGTGGAGTAGCAGAACGCACTTCAGGGTCTGTGATGTTTGGACACCCGGATTTGACATTTTTCCCATCTGCCACAGACCAAGGGGTACGGCTGATGTCTGGATTTGGATTCTTGTGCTGGACAGATGTCTTCCCCGCTGCTGTTTTGTCTGAGCGGTGCACTTTATAACCACATCTAACCGCGTCTGATGCTCTTTTAAACCACACTGTGGTGAGCTATGCTAACCTCTTTGGCTGCTCTGACTGAATTCTAAATACATCACTCCTGATGTTGGATTACTGGATCACATTTTTCCCTGCTGATCAAGAATGGAGGTTATTTTTTCGTTATTCATTTGTTGCCAGATTTTATTTGGAAGCCTTAACTTTTGTAATTGTCTGATCAGTTTGGGTCAGAATGTAACTATGACTTCAAGCGGTGGACGTTCTTCCTCAGGATTGCCAGTGCCTTTGCTTTTTCTGTGATGACATCCAACCAAAAACTAAATTTATACACCCTCATGCCGTTCCAAAACCATTAATTCTTACATGGAACATGAAAGGAGACATTTTAAAGAATGTCCATGCTGCTCTTTTCCATACATTGACTTAATAAATTATAATATGCCATATATATTTTTTGTCTCATTGTAACTTGTATGGAAAAGAGCAGTGTGAACCTTCTTTAAAATATCTTCTCCACAGAAGAAATAATGAGTTTGGAACATCATGAGGCTGAATCAATTAGACTTCACATTTTAAGACACGTTAAGTGTTTTTATTTCTTGACTTTTACAGAATGATCTGTCTGTCACTGCATATATTATGTAAATGTAATTAAAGAGCATTTTTTTAAGTTTTATAATGACGTATCTGAACAGATCTGTGTTCATTATCTAATCAAACGAGTCAGAAAAACTTTTAGCTTGAAAAGTTCCCGGGTTGCTTGGTCGATGAGCCACCAATACTTGCTCATACTGGTGCACGACTTCGTAATCCTTGGCTGGGAACCAAAAATTACCTACTTTTTCTTTCTCCCTCTCTTTTGGTTCCTGCTCCTTGTCGATGTATGTGCTTCAGTGTAGAAATTCAGCAAGTTCACAATATAACACTCATTAGCCTCCCTGTCCAGGCTAAATATACATCACACATACAATAGCTGGAAGGGAGAGTGTTTACAGAGAGTAGCTGTCCCATATTTGCACTGATTTGGACTGAGCGGGTGCTGGTGAATCCGGTATAAGGGGGTGACGGGCAGCCTCTCATCCTTGTGTGTGCGATTGTGAGTTTTATTTTAGCTCTGTGAGAGTTTAAAGCTTGGCGGGAAAGTCTTAGTGGGTCAGCTGAGTTTCCTCTTGACGGATAGCAGCTCATTTAGATCAGGGAGTTTTCTCAAGGTTGAAAGTGAATGGAAAAAGAACAGACAAACGGCATTTGTAGACCTTGCATGTCATCTGACTGTTTATTCCAAGAAATTGTAGTACTTAACACTGTTTTAGTAGTTTGACCACTGCTTTTAAGAACATTTTTCATTATTTACTCATCCTTTTGACTTTCTTCTGTGGAATGCAGCGGGTGAAATTTTGAAGAATGTGTTGGTTGCTTATTTCCATTCAGTGACAATGAAGGGGAACTAAGGCTTTCAATCTGTAACAACGAAAATAAAACTCTATAAAAGTGGTTGATGCAAAGTTTGTGCTACATTCTCAATGATAGCTTTGTGTCCAAAATGAATGTGTAGACCACATTTATGGTTCAGTCCCCATTTAAGTTGAATTGCTTGAAAAGCGACTAGCACAATCTTCTAAATTTCTCCTGCATCATCCAGGTTTAAAACAACTTGAATCAGTAAACTTTGAGTAAACTCTTTTTTTAAAGATACAATTGTGAGTAAAACTTCCCTTTGTTCAATGCTTAGCTTGCTTTTGTTTTGTTTTGTTTATATGCAGTTTATGCAAGAACATTTGTTTACCTCACACTGAGATGATTAGCCAGTTTAATACTGCTGTTAGAATGATTCTGTTTCTTCCCCGTTCCCTCCCAACTGCTGATTCATTCCTTGAATAAAAGAAAACTAGCAAATAGCGCAAGTTAAGCCACGCTGAGAACTGGAGAATTGGGTCAAGTTTGGTTGCATAGTTGTCGTGTTTAGATCTCCAATAGCCCATTTAATACACACATAGAAAGTCATGATTATAAAAGAACTGTGTAAGTGTGCACAATCATAAGGCTCAATCCCAATTCGCATAGTATTACTTGTATACTGTATTGCGCATGCATAGGTATAATATCTTGCCCTTTTTGGATTACTGCATTTATATGCCTGCTTGTAAATATTATGTAAAATATTTGTTTTTGTTTAATTTTGGGTTTTGTGTAACTCGTTTGTTGTCATTACATTGTAGGAATATTTATGACAACTACTTTGATCTCAGCATGTCTGTTTATTTTAGTATATTTTCAAATGTAATTTATTCCTGTGATGACAAAGCTGAATTTTCAGCATCATTACTCCAGTCTTTTGCGTCACATGATTCTTCAGAAATCATTCTAATGATTGTCAGTGTTGAAAAACATTTTTTTATCCAGGTTCTCAACAGCATTTATTTGAAATAAAAATCATTTGTAACATTACAAATGTATTTTACTGTAACTTTTGGTCCCTGCTGAATAAAAATATTAGTTTATTTAAAACAGAAAACAATTCTTACTGACCTTGACATTTTGAGTTATATTATTTATCAGTTTGCACTTTGTGCAAGTATGAGAATTGGGATTCAGCCTATATGTGTTGGTGTGTTGTTGAGGGACTTATCAGGACGTGTATCTGTGTGGAGTGAATGAGGGCCATGGTTAACCTCCACTGGCCCCCATCAAGGTCCGGTAACCTCCGAAACCTGACCGACATGCATGATTCGGTTTCCTTTCATTGTCTTATCGCTCTCTCTCTCTCTCCTTCACTTTCTTTGATATTCCCCCTCTCCTGTCTCCTCTCCTCTTACCTTTCTCCTCCATTACCTGAATATCAACTTAAATGGGGAGGTCATGTCTTCATATTCTCTCTTCTCTCTCTCAGCTTTTCTCGTTCTCCCTCCGCTCTCTGTTTCACTCTCTCTTGCAGTAATGATAGCATAGAGAATGAATCATGTTGTTCTGGAGTGCAGTGGAACGGTCTCCATACCTAGTCCTTACCAGAGGTCAGCTTTGTGATGGTGTTAGTAATAGCCATGCGGCAGACTGTGCTTCAAGCTCGCCGTCTCCCCTTACTGTGGAGAATTAGTGACAGTTAAGGTGTATATATTGCATTGGATAAACCGGAACGCTGATAACATGTCTTTTAAACTGCTGTACTGTGACCTGACAGTGAACCGTATCTGTTTGCATTCAGAGGCGTGGGCACTGTTAAGAATGTTTGTGTCTGTCAATCTCTACTATAACTCGGTAGTTATTAATGACAGGTGTGTATAGCTTTTATTGGATTTCTTTATTTATGCAAGAATATCATTGTATTACATCTGATTTGTTTGATTTCAATCCAGTCTGTAAATAGGTGCTGCTTTCTGGTCTGATTTAGTCAATCTTTGTTCCAAAACCGAGTGAGCTTCCTAACTGGGCAACATTTTAAGGCATCGTGTTATACCAACTTTAAGGCTCTCCTTAAGTACCTAATTTTGGCCAATTTCTAGGTAGCATAGAGCTCTGCAGTGATGCCAAATTTTGTAGGCCATCCTCAATGTTTGCATTACCCTGGTTCTCTTGACATGAACTCAATAGGATTTTTCCATTGGCTTTTGTATTATTGCAGAAAATAAGCTGTGAGACCAACAAAAGTTCTCACATGTTTTGTACATCATGGATAATATTCACAAATTAAACACGTTAGAATTTTGTAGCAGTCGGCTGAAGTAAAAAGCTAAGCATAGGATATAAAAGTCACATGACTTCAACATCTTCACCACAAAGCTTTGACAACTTTTAGTCTTTATTTAAACACTTTTCCTTGAAAGATTGAGTTAGAATTAAGAGTGTGATTTAAAAACAACAGGTAACTCGTTAGCAACTGCCTAGTATAAGTAAAGCTTAAAAAACACAAGGGGGTATTACTGATGTATTTAAAGGGGTAGTTCAGTGGTTGTTTTCTAGGCTTGATTGCGTTTATGGGGTGCAGTCTAACATGTTAATGCAAAAAACGCATTATTTATCACATAATTTACCTTTATTCCACACCGCTCTGTCCCTTCTCTGAGAAACGCACTGATCAATTTCCTTCTTTTATGAAGCCCCTCCCTCAGAAATAGGTGATGGGCTCTGATTGGTTAGCTGGCCCGGTGTGTTGTGATTGGCTAATCCGTCTCTAGTGCGCACACTTTTCCTTGAAAGATTGAGTTAGAATTAAGAGTGTGATTTAAAAACAACAGGTAACTCGTTAGCAACTGCCTAGTATAAGTAAAGCTTAAAAAACACAAGGGGTATTACTGATGTATTTAAAGGGGTAGTTCAGTGGTTGTTTTCTAGGCTTGATTGCGTTTATGGGGTGCAGTCTAACATGTTAATGCAAAAAACGCATTATCACATATTTTACCTTTATTCCACACTGCTCTGTCCCTTCTCTGAGAAACGCACTGATCAATTTCCTTCTTTTATGAAGCCCCTCCCTCAGAAATAGGTGATGGGCTCTGATTGGTTAGCTGGCCCGGTGTGTTGTGATTGGCTAATCCGTCTCTAGTGCGCCGCTTAACGTCCCGCCCCTCACCTCAGCGGCATGTGCTCCGGTTGTATTGTA